TATATGTACTTTATAAAAATGACCAGTGTAACCACCTAAGTGTAACTTAGTGACATTTATTTTATTTGCCATATTGTGCAACCCTTACTACCATCTGCCCTATTACCGAATGATTTTATCCTCTTAAACAGAATCTTCAGCAATAACTGCTCACTACCCCCACTTCATCACCCCTCCCACCCCCCATTCTCTCCCATTTTTCATAGTAGAATTGTTGCTGGCGTAGTTGTTTGTATTGTCCCTTCATGTGTTCCACGCGTGCAGCCTCTGTTTCAGCGCTGCCCTGGGACTCCAGAGCCCACGACTTTTTTGAAAGTTTGTTTTCGAGCTATTTTGAAAACAGCCTCACACGGCTCATGAATTCCATTGATTTTCACTTACTGTCCTTGCCAGAGTCATTGCTCTCAAAAGCACCTGTTAGCTCAATATACTGTAGTTCCATGTGTATTATCTCAGAGCCTTTTTCCATTTGCATCTTCATACATCTACAATGTAAGTCATTAGGTGGCTTCTAAAAATAATCCCTTCTCTCAACTTCCCTGTGTATTGTTACGCCACAAAGAGAGAGAATCAGCCTTCTGGATTAAACAGTAACTTTCATCTTTTCACTCCCTTGTTTTTGTTGTTAAGCGCCATTTAGCCAGTTCTGAGTATAGGGCTTCCGAGGAATGGCTGGTAGGTTTGAATGTTCCGATGATTAGTTGAATAATGGGTACCATAGAGTTGAAAGATAACTTCCCTAAATGGTTATATTAACTGATGCTTGTAAGATTTTGTTAGCATTTCATTAAAGGAAAGTGCTTGTTCATGGACACTCTACTCACTGTTTCCCCATTAGCTCTCAGTCCAACTCCCCATCGCACATGTTTATTCCAGAATCTTCAGTGATGGTTGTAGTAGGATAAGATTTTCCATGAGACTCTGATAGTCACAGGAGGTGTGGGTTTTCTACTTGAAATTATTAGGATAGGAAAAGACACTGAGAAATAAGGCCAAAGTAGGAAATAAAGTCAAGTGGGACCCCAGAGCTGGAGGGTTGTACAGGGAAGGCAGTTAGGGGCCTGTCCTATAGGAGCAGAGAAATGACAGTTGGCCGTCAGCCTGCGTGTGCTGATGGAAGACATGATATGGTGTAAATAATAATATTTATAGATCCGGTACCATAGATTTTAATCTGAAACCAACATGGGCCCTTCCCTTAAGCAGGGGAGATCAATTAACGTAATCTACATGGTTAGTCAAGAGTTCTAGGAGAATGGGGATGAGTGTCCCGGTTAGGGTTAGGGCCTAGCTGTTAGCCCTGCCAGTTGTTCAGCCCTGATGTCTCACAATGAAGGATAGAAACAGAAAACAATAATTATAGATATCAGCGACTATAGTGGGCTTACATCTTATTTAGAATATGTGATGCATTTACAGGACTCTTGGTATGGTGCTGTGGGATAAGTGCTGGACTGCTAACTAGAAGGTTAGCAGTTCAAGCACACCAGCTGCTCCTTAGAAGTCCTGTACCAGGTCACTGTGAGTCAGAACCAGCTCCACAGCACTTAACAATAGCAATAACAATGAGTTTACGGGACATATACAAGCATCCTCGGGTTATAAAGAACCCAGATAAGTCATGAGACAGTTGAATGATTTGCCTCTGTTCTAAAATCATCAATAGCATTGGTGTAGCTAGGGTAAGCACCTATATGTGTGCAACGTCTGTGCATGCGATCCTGTTCACATCATTTCCAGAAGTCCCTCATATCTATCAGTCGCCTGGCATTGTTTTGGAGTGTTACTGTGTTGTAGATAAAATTCACTGCCTGGATCCTCATCAAGGGCTACATGCATGGTTTAGGAGTTTTGTTGGCTGTTGTATGAACAGTGAATGTCAGGAGCCATACCTGGAAACAAGTTGACATGTTACAATCTTTGTTGTTGTTGTTAGGTGCTGTTGAGTCAGTTTCAACTCATAGGTTTCCAAGACGTGGCTGGTGGGTTTAAATGGCTGACCTTGCTGTGTAGTGCATGACCCCTCAGCCCCACACCAGGACAGCCGTACACGCCCCTCTGTTTAGATTAGACAGTGGGATTCCAGGGTTTCCTGAAGTAGTTCCCTTTTGACCACCCCTCGCACTCGATATCCTGATCCCACGTGTCACAGCTCAGGGCTGTGACGGTGCCTTGTTCTCTTTGCTCCTTTCTGTATTGCATAGCCCAGTGCAGGGAGCCTTGGTGGCTCATTGGGTTAGTGTTGGGCTCTTGTTATGGACTGAAATGAAGTCTCCTGAAATACATGTCAGCTTGGCTGTGATTCTCAGTGGTTAGGTAGTGACATGATGATACTCATGATGTGAGGATTAAGGGTGGGATACACTATTTTCAGAGTCCTGGTATGGCATTGTGAGTTAATACAGGCTGGTTTGAACCGTAAAGTCGGCAGTTCAAGCTCACCGGCCACTCCTTGGAAAGCCTATACAGGGTCGCTATGGGTCACTCCATGGCACTTAACAACAACAACAACACTAACAGCAACGATGACAGCACTAGTCTTGGGCTCCTAGTATAGTGTTGTAGGATCAGCACTGGACTGCAAGCCTCAAGGCTGACCCACCAGCTACTCCTCAGAAGCCCTGTACAGGGGCACTATGAGTCAGAACCAACTTGATGGCACTTACCCACAGCAAAAATGGTATCCTATCATGACCCTGAGCTGATATCAGGAAGATTCCCAGGGGTGTAGCATGCCACACCTTTGATCTTATAAGAGACAAAAGGAGAGAGAAGTGAGCAGAGAAGGGAACCCTAGTACAACCAAGAAAGAAAGTTGGGAATGGACTGCCTCCTTTGGACGTGGGGTTGCTGCCCTGTGAAGCTCTTAGATCCAGGGAAAGCTTGATGCCGAGATCAGTGGAGAGCTCCAAGGACTGCTGGGCCTACAGATGCTAAATGGAAACCAGGACCTTTTCCCAGAGCTAATGCTTCCCAGACAGTGAGAGAGTAAATTTCTGTTTCTGAAAGTCTTCCGCTCGTGATAGTTCTCTTGTAGCAGCACTAGAGAACTAAGACAGCTGCTTTAATGAAAGATCAGCAGCTGCTCCATGGAGACTGACCGCCTCGGAGCCTGTGGCACAGTCCTGCTTTGCCCCCGAGGGCCACAGTGAATCATAATCACTTCAGTGGCAGTGGGTGTTGTTTTGGAGACTCCAGTGCATTTTTCTGTGTACTGCTCCATCCTTGTGTTTTGTCATTTCTACCCTGGTTACAAACCGTATTTGAAAGCATCTCTGTGGTGTCTTTTTGTACTGTGTCTCCATTGCCATCCTACCCTTGTCACCTTAATACTTTCTTTAGTCACCCGAAAGTTTTTATGTGTTTCAGGTTCAGAGACTGCAGTTGAAGTTAAATCCTCAGTGTCCAGGAAGAGCTTTCCTGAAGATAAACAGCCCTATGATACTAAAACGGCAAGGAATGACCTCTGGTATTTGTCTCTAGAAGAAGTCTGGAAATGTGAAGCTCAGCTGGACAAGTATCAGGAAACCCAGGAGAAACATCTGAGGCAAGTGGCATTCACACAAAAGAAAGTCCTCACTGCACAGAGAGTCTGTGAAAATGGCAAATATGGAGGAAACGGTCTTCTCCCGGCACAGCTAGCACTGAGAGAATGTTTCCATAAACCTGATTCACACATTACAAATTTAAAGCACAGTTTAGTTTTTAGCGATCATCAAGAAAGTTATGCAAGTCACAGTAACGAAGGTAGTCAAACGTTCTGTGAAAACATTCACCTTATTCAGTTTGCGAGAACTCAGACAGGAGGTAAACCCTACAAAGGCCCTGATACTGGTGACTCTCTTACTCACGGGAGTTCTCTGGGTGTAGCAAAGGGCACACATAGAGAGAAACCCTACGAATGTAAAGAGTGCGGCAAGTGCTTCAGCTGGCGCTCTAATCTTACCAGGCACCAGCTTATTCATTCTGGAGAGAAACCCTATGAATGTAAAGAATGTGGAAAATCCTTCAGCCGGAGTTCCCACCTCCTGGGGCACCAAAAGACTCATACTGGTGAGGAACCCTATGAGTGTAAAGAATGTGGAAAATGCTTCAGCTGGTTCTCTCACCTTGTCACACATCAGAGAACGCACACAGGAGACAAGCTGTACACATGTAACCAGTGTGGAAAAGCGTTTGTTCATAGCTCTAGGCTTATTAGGCATCAGAGAACCCACACTGGAGAGAAACCTTATGAGTGTCCCGAGTGTGGGAAATCCTTTAGACAGAGCACACACCTCATTCTGCACCAGAGAACACATGTTCGGGTGAGACCCTATGAGTGTAATGAGTGTGGCAAATCCTACAGTCAGAGATCTCATCTTGTTGTGCATCACAGGACTCACACTGGACTGAAGCCCTTTGAGTGCAAGGATTGTGGGAAATGTTTTAGTCGAAGTTCTCACCTTTTTTCACACCAGAGAACACATACTGGAGAAAAACCTTATGAATGTCATGATTGTGGTAAATCCTTTAGTCAGAGCTCTGCTCTCATTGTGCACCAGAGAATCCATACTGGAGAGAAACCATATGAATGTTGTCAGTGTGGGAAAGCCTTCATCCGGAAGAATGACCTTATTAAGCATCAAAGAATTCATACTGGAGAAGAGACTTTTAAATGTAATCAGTGTGGAATTATCTTCAGCCAGAGCTCTCCATTTATAGTACATCAAATAGCTCACACTGGAGAGAAATTTTTAACGTGTAATCAGTGTGGGACAGCTCTTGTGAATAGCTCAAACCCCATTAGGTACCCGGTAAGTCATATTGGAGAAAGCACTTATTAATAGGAACATGCAAGGTTCATAAAACCCAAAAACCATATTTTGCAACAGAGAGCTTTATAAATGGGATGTGTCCCTGTTGTGCACTAGAAAACACCCTGGAGTCAAAGAAAAGATCCGAAAGAAATCTTCAGAAATTACCTTTCAATAAATTAGATTGAATTTTCTTCTTTCCACAAATTCCAAAAAATGGAAATTGACCTGGAAGCATTCTTAAAGCTCGAATCTTAGAAGGAATCAGCTTCATTACTCCTCACAAAGATGAATCAATGATGGTGACTGTAGGGAGAGTTGTAGCTGAAAAGAGTAAAATATATGCGTCTATTTTAAGAAAATATGGACAGTAGTATTCCAGTGGTTGATATGCCGTTGTTTACTTGAGTTTTCATTTCCTTTGGGACACCTAGTTGTTTTTAATTTATGTGTGTGATAAAAAGCACGGATTGATTAGCAGCAGGGAAAATGCTTACAATGTAATGAGATTTAAAATCAATACATTTACATTACTAGCAGTATGAATTTTACAGTCTATTTGTATGTGGGCAAGAATTGAAAGAATATGTATAAGTGAACGGAGTTGATTTTTTAGATAATGGAATTGTGAGTGATTGTGTTTTTATGGTTAATCCAGTGTTGTAACAGTTATTTTAGAAAATGGATGTATTAAATATAGCAATGTCTAGTTTCTCTAGTCTAGTTTCAAGGAAGTTTATCAGCGATCTTTTCCCATTAATCCTAAGTAATTTCCGGTCTTAGTTAGAGTTCCATTCCTAAAGACGTGGTGCTAAAGGCCCCTGAAAATTGAAGGACACAGTTTTTGGATATCGGAAGCTAGAGGAAATATTGGGTGTTGGAAAATGTGAGGGAGACTCTCATGTGAGTAGTAGTATGTACTTAGACAATATTTCCAGCAAGTGTTCTCATGAGATAAATACTGCACCACCCAAGGTCGTCCTCCTTCTCAAGGTGGTCTCTTTATGTTTATAAACAACAATAAACAAGCTGTTATGAGCCTACACTGAGTAAGACCACCCAGGCTGAAATCCTGTGTCTGCCCCTAACTAGGTGATCTTAGGCATCTGAGCTTCCTGGTACCTAACTTACAGATACCTTTTTCACAGAAACAGGGATATCAATAGTACTTACATGATAGGATTGTGGTGCGTGTTAAACAAGTAAACAGATAAACAGAATAGTGCCTGACATGTATTAAGTGCTTTATCATTATTAGCTGTAATCATCAATATTATTATTATCCCAGCTTAGCATCTGTCACTAAATTTAGACCTGCCTGAGTACTTATAAGAACTCAGTGAGTTCTTTCTTTCTTTCTGGTTCCACATGGCCTCCCTTTGTTACCTAAATCAGGACTTTTCAACATGGGGAACCACTGACCCATAGTGGGCATATGGATTCATTTCCAAGGTCAATAAACCATTTGTGATATTGTATGCAAAACAGGTCTATTTGTATAAAGATGTTCCCTTCTAGGGAGAGGATCCCAATCTTCAGACACTCTGGTAAGTCTATGAAACAATAAAGAAATTCAAGAAGAGGACCTATTTTAATTTTCTGTTTCATTCTATGAAAGGATCTCCTGTGTGTGGACCAGTCATGGTTTGCCATTTTCTAGCATGTAAGTTGCTCAATGAATGTTGAATAAAACATGGATAATATTGAGACCAATAGGATAGAAATCTTGATGTCTCTGAGTCAAAGTCTCTCAAAATAATTGCTAGAATCATAAGACTTGAGAATTACAAGGAATATAAGAGACCATCTAGCTCATTCTCTTCATGGTACACTTGAGACACAGAGTTTTCCCTGGTGTCACACTTGAAGGGAAGTTAGAGTTAGAACTAGCTTCTAGATTCTCAGTTATTTCTGCTCCATGCTGTCATACCACTCAGATGTGTAACAGTCACATCAGTGATAGAATTTGCTATTAGCAGCGGTTCTTCCTGAGAGTAAGAGTATCCACTTAATTGTACCTCTCAGTTTCCGATGACCTGTGGCCCAGTGTCTTCAGTTGTATTAATGAAGACTCTACTGATCTCTACCTCATAGTGTTACTGTGGGGATGAAGTGTGATAATGAGCACGAAGCACTTGAAACAGTGCCTGGCACACATAACGTGATGCCTGTGTAAGCTATTTTTATTAGCATTCTGAGGACCACGTCTGTATGTGGGCAGAGCTCTGTGACTAAGGGTGATTGTTGAAATGTTACTTACGGTTGTGCAGAACTACGAAGTACAGTACTGTAATGGTTATAGCACATCTCTGTAATGGAATCTTAGGGAACCCTTAAAATTACATTCACAGAGAGTCTAATAAGAGGAAAAAAGGTTGCTACCGTCGTTAGTTACGGAAGAAACCCCACCATTATCAATCTGGAGTTAACCCAAATATGTAAAAACAGATGCATTGTATAAAATTGGAATTACTCTTGTCAAAACCTATGAAGAAACGCGCTCAAAGATTATTGTTAAAATGTTGTCAGGTTGATTCTGACGCAATGACCCTGTGTACAGGAGAACAAAATCCTGCTCAGTCCTGTGCCATGCACGGTTCATACAAAAACACAGAGCAGATAAAACAACCCAAGGATGATGTCCTCCTCCAGGGACTGGTCACTCCGATGACAGGTCCAAAGTATGAGAGGTCAGGTCTCACAGTCCTGACTTCCAAGGAGCATTCTGGCTGTGCTCCCTCCAAGACGTATTTGTTTGTTTCTCTACAGCTCTTGGGCACATTCAATATTCTTCACCAATTCTATCATTCAGAAAATAAATTCGTTGGTCTTACTCATTTTCCAGCTTGCACATGCATATGAGGCAATTGAAAATATCAGGACTTGCATCAGGCATACCTTGGTCTTAAGAGTGACATGTCATTTGATTAATATTGGTAAAGTTACATATGGACATCATTGGAGTTTATTTTCTGTATATTTGTACTTTTTTATTCTTACCAAGGAGTCCTCGTGGGGTGCTGTGGGCTAATGCGCCAGACTGCAAAGCAATTTGAACTGCAAGGTCGGCAGTTCAAACTCACCAGCTGCTCCTTGGAAACCCTGTACAGGGTCGTTATGGGTCGGAATCGACTCGACGGCACTTAACAACAACAACAATTCTTAGCAAAATCTTCTAATGATTCGTATATTACTTTCAGAACCAGGAAAAGAATCTCTTCAGATGAAGGAATTTTTCATCTTCCAAAAATTAACTCTACCTAAAAAAATTTTACATTTCAACAAGGCCACAGAATACAAGGGCAATATATACATACACATTTATTCCTATATCTTAGCAGTGTTCCCATTCGATAATCAGAAATCCAGTTCTATTTATGATATACATAATATGAAATTAAATGATTAATGAAACATAAAATCAGTGAAAACTATAATACTTTGCCAAAAAAAAAACAAACGTGAAGAGTACGCAGTAAATGCATAATGCAGAGTAAGACCATGGTCAAGGTTGGAAAGAGTCAATTTTGTTAAGATGGTGATGCTCAATATTTAAATTCATTAGCACTCTAATAAAAAGTATTCAGTCCTTTTTGTAGATGTTGATAAGCTGAAATGAAATTTGTATGGAAATACAAAGGGGCAGGTCAAGTGTAGTCACCCTTGGGACGTTCCTAATCTCATAGACACGCACAGTGGGGACTCCAGATACTGTATAGCCCTAGGGGCTGTCCCTCACACTTCGGTGGGGTGTGGTGGGATAGTTGGCCTCACTTTGGAGAGACCTTAATCCTGTGTGGTTGTGTGTGCTTTTGTCTTCTCAAATCTGGCCTTAAGCAGAAAGGAAACAACCAGGTAAAAACTTCAACACGCCATGCGTCCCCCATGGAGGCCCTCTCCAGAGCTTAATCTGCCCTTGAGGTTGTAATGATGTTGCGGCAGCGCGTGCCAGAAAGAACTCAACTCGCAAATCTTAAAGAGCAAAGTTTATTGCCGGCAGCCAGAGTGTCCGCTAAAGCCCAAATCACTCCAACCCTGAAGTGAGCAGGGGAACGGGGTTTTACACAAAAACATGGAGAGGTTAAAACAAACAGACTTGTCTTGCTACCTGGGATGGAAAATTCCAGCAGACCCTTATCCTGTAAGTGGGAGTAAACCCACCAATAAACCCTTATCCTGTTTGTGCAGATGAGCTGGTGTTTTCTAGCCAAGTTCAGGTGTCCTTGGGTCCTTCTGACCTTCGCAGATTTTGAGTAAGAAGTTTATAATTTTTCCATAGGGTGAGGCGCGGTGGGGGGGGGGGGGGGGAGGGCAGGGGGAGACAGGGCTGAAAGGACTTAGCCATAGCGGATACCTAGTTTAAATAGGAGCTGTTAGTCATGTTGCAACATTGCCCTCTTTAGTTGTACCTTAGCTTAAATCATTGAGCAATTTCCTGTTCTCCTGTTCTAGGTGTTTATATGGCTGAGAGGACAAGTCATTTATAACAGATTCTATTCAGGACTTCTGGATGCCCTCCCGTAAGGAAAAACAAATCAGATCTATTTATTACACTCTTAAATAGCCCCAAATATTTTCATCCCATTGAAAGGAATAATGTCTTATGAGAGTCCCATTGTGTCCAAGTTTTGAGTTTTGAGTCCAACTGACTTGACAGCTGACCGGGTGACTTCCCAGGGTCCGGTCCGCTTTTTCTTTTTTTCTTTAACTGGTTTTCAGGTCCGTCGCTTTATGTTCTGAGCAGCATAAGATCTCTAGGCTGGAAGGGGTCTAGTTACCTGTAGGGAAGGCAGCAAACCTGGGGAGAGCAATGTTATAAATCATAGACAGTGTGTGGTGGAGGCATTGCACATACCGCTGCATCTTTAAATCTTGGCTGAGGTCAGCTAGAGGGTTGAAGGGAGCTGCCTGGGAAAGGTTTACTGTATACAGCTTTGTTGTTGTTGTCAGGTGCCATCGAGTCGGAACCGACTCATAGTGACCCCATGCACAGCAGAACGAAACAGTGCTCGATCCTGGGCCAACCTCAC